GAGGGCCCCCGGGGCCCCCCCACCCCCGGCGGGGTGGGGGCCCTGCGGGGGGGGCAGCCGCTCGCCCTCCCCGGGCAGCTGCTCCTGCCCGCAGCGCCGGGAATGCTCAGCTGCTGGCAGGGCCCGGCTCAGCCCCGCCGGCCACCGCGGCTCTCCGCCAGGTCTGGAGCCCAGGGAAGCCATTTGCTGCCGAGCCGGCGTTTCGCTGGGTGGCCGGGAATCGCTGACACATGCTCAGGACGGTCCCTTCGGAGCAGTGCCCCGGCCCCAGCATCCGCACGGAGCGGCAGCAGGGCTGTGGGCACCAGGCCAGCCCCTTGCCACAAGGGACCGTGCCCCCGCCAGCAGCACCCTCTGCCCCACGGCCCAGCACTGGCCCCGGCATCGCGGCACAGACAGCGTGCGCCATCCCTGTCCGGGGGCCTGGGGACCCTGTGGTCGGGTGGGTCCTGGGGTCCTGCTCGCCCCGTGGCAGCCAGGGCTGCTCGGTGCAGGTCAAGGTCAGCCCCAGCCAGCACTGCCGTGGGCTCTGCCCCGTGGTCGTGCCGGCGAGGCCAGGCAGCGCCATGCTGCCCACATGCGCGCCCTGGCCTTTGGAGGAGAGGCAGCTACGGGCAGCACCGCGGGGGTCCCTGGGGCGTCCCTGGAGGGGTCCCCGCAGAGGGGTCTCTGGGGCGGGGGTTCTGGCGGGGTCCCAGCCCACCTCATGCCCCCAGGGCGAGACGCGCTCCCGGGGCGCCCGCGCGGCCGTCGCGTGCCGTCCCTGCTCAGACGGGTCGATCGCGTTTGACCTTCACCTACCAAATGAGTTATAGATCGTGTCTGGGGATGCCCCTTGCCGCCGGGCGGGCGAAGACGGCACTGGGGCAGCGCGGGGGGCTCTGGCACCGTGTGGGGCCGTGGGGCAGAGGTCCCGGCGAGCGGTGCCAGCACCAGCGTTCTCCATGCCAGCCCCAGCCTCCCTACAGTGCCGCCGGGACAAGGAGGGCAGCCTGCCCCAGGCATGGGTGCTCACACCCCAGGGAGAAGCCCCGGCAGTGTCCCCTCGGCACACACGGCACCGGCAGGCGGGGCTCGGCCCCCCCCCCCCCCCCCCGGGGGCCGC